ACTAAAAACGTTTGATTAAATGTTTTGTACAAAACAAAATTAGAATATCCAAATTAAATGGCATAGTTCGCCTTTTCTTAAGTGTCACGAATAAAATTTGTAATACTAGTTTAGTTGCCTTGCCATTGAACATAATATCCCTGAGAAAATGTAATGATCTTAGCCCTGTTGCAAATGTATATAAGCACCTAGCTTATGGCCCATTAAGACTTGTTAACAACGAAGCAATTTTAAAGTGAAAACATTGAAAAGCTTCATAAAAGTGGAAAACCCAAGCAACTCAATATATCGAAATTCTTGAGAGGCAGACAGGGCATTGTCCAGTGAAGGAGGGCTCTTCAATTGACAGCACATAAAAAGTCATGCAAAACATTGATAAGCCATAAAACTAAAAAATTAGCAAATTAATCACGTGCCCTCCAACTTTTTCTGCTCGCCCACGCCCGAAATTTTTCGGCGATGTTTTTTATTATGGTTTTCTATTTTGGCGCAATAGCATTTCCGTACGCCTCGGGCCACAGAATCTCGGCCCGTGGGGAAGTTGGCTTAGCTGGCCAAAAGAACTCGTCACCAAGTGCCCGGCTCTTTTCATTAACAACTCGATCATGATCAGCATCGATAAGCCCCAGGCCCAGAGCCTGCTTAGAATTCTGGGGGAGATCTCGAACCTGATTGGCGTTTTAAAGAGCCTTCGGCCAGTCCGCAGATTTATATATTTCGGGGCTTCTATTCTTGACGCTCTGCTCGTGTGTAAGTGAATTTGCATAAATATGTATGTGTCTCCGGTGAGCACTGGTTACCAACCTGATTACCAGGAGAAGTCGCCACTTGGCCCTTATTATATTTTGTCTAGAGAAACCAGTCGGACAACTCCATAAACCAGGGGCAGCTCATTTAACACCCATGTACACCCAAAAAAAAAAAACTGAAAGTTTAGTTTTGATAAGTCTGCTTTTAAAATAAACTACTTACAAATGTAAACCCTATACTTTTTAGTTTAATTTCTTTACTGAAGAGTTTAAAACTGTAAACTAAGGACATATTTTTAAAGCCTATAAGTTTAATTAATTTTATACTCATTTTATTAAGAATTAATTTAGTTTCTATGACAACTTTTTTGGGTGTAGTCAACGATATCAGTCAAGGCGAAATTGGAACAAAACACCGCCTAGGGAAATGCGTCATAAACCTAATCAAGAACTTTTCGTGACCGAGAAACAAAAGATGCTACAATTAAACAGAAATTCAGTTCAAAATATGGGGAAATAATGTTTAAAAAGATCTGCAACTCCAGCTTCTTGAAGGAATCATTGCAAATTATTAACGATTTATTTATCTAAAGATCAAGTTGTTTGGCCAGAACAAGTTTTGGCCAGCACTAGACCCCGCCAGAGCTGAGCTCAGAGGGTATAAATATAATCATTGGAATCTGAAAAGAATGAGTTATACTCGCTTCCAGATTCCTATTTACATTTAACCGCATGACCCTTGACTCGCTGTGGACAAGGTCAGCGGTTCCCTATCACTTGACCGAATCGATTCCTTGGCTCGATTGCCATTGAAAATCACCCGCCTCATTACACATTACGCAACCGGTGGACTTGACCAGGCCCAGACCCAGACCCTAACCCAGACCCAGACCCAGACTTCCGCCTCGAACTCTTCCGCATAGATGTAACAGTAAACAAGTTGGGGACCGGACCTCCGCGGAGTTCGAAGCCGCATAAGCGGACCCAGCAATTAAAATATGTAAATGGAAACAAAGCCAAACAAAAAGGCCAATGCTGCGCGAAAAAACGACGCCGAAAGATCGACGCTAACCTCGCGTTTGTCTTTGCTGCAAATGAAGAGATGAACTCGAGACCGCATTGGAGCAATGACGGCAAAGAAAGACCCGCCAGTACTTGGTATACCCTCTCTAGGAAACTGGATATAAGTTCAATAACTTTGTCCACAAAATGGCCCACAGCCTTTGGCTGGAAGCACAGAGTTCTCTATTAATTTAATAAGGATATATATAGTTTTTAATTAAAACACTGATAAAACATTAAATCCTAAAAATAAGTATCTGACTATTGGTTTCAAGATGTTGTATTTATTATTTAAATTAGATATTAAATCATAATTTTAATTTCAATGCATATTAATTAGGATGATTTAATAATGAAATAAAACATTTTAATTAATGTGGAACAAATTTGACTTAAAATTGTACTTATTTGATTAATATGCATTTTATTAAAATTAAATATGGAATCAATTTAAACTTAATTTTCAGATAATAAAATCATTTCCAAAAATTGTCAAGTGAAACATTTTTTTTTAAATGTATAATTAAAAATCAAAGCGAATAATATTTAAGCTAAGTGTCAAATATTGGATTTGCTATGTTTTTTCTGACAGAGAAGTAATTGTTTGTTCGTAAATACATCATAATAAAGAAATCTTTGTTTAAATGAGATGAATTACAAAAATAAATTAATTAATATAAATAAATTATAATAAAAGATTAGTGAACTATACTTTATTGCCAACTTATAAAATTAGGTTTTGAAAGTTTCACTGTAAGAAGTAAGACACAATTTCTTAGAACATATTTCAATTGATTGATTAAGCAATAGTAAACATCATAGCAAAACGAGAATAAAGAATAAATAATGAGTCGTATTTTCAAGCCCAACCAAAAACATCATAAATATCATAGCACCCATTTAGTTAGAGCAGTTAAAAAGTGAACCCCGAAATCGGTTTGCTGTCTCAGTTTCGTCTTCAGCTGGCTGATTAAACATCAGGAAATACAAAATGCTAAGCAGGCTAAAGCAAAAGCAAATTGTAACAGGGCCCAAACTCAGCCGCAAAACAAACGAGTTCTCAGGCCAAAGGCAAAATCAAAAAGCTTGGCTTAGCTATTGATAAGCGGCCAAAACTCGTTCGCACTTGGACTGCGGAGATTCGGAGGAGGGCTAAAGCCAAATAGCCCCATTGACTGATTATTGTTATTAATGCGAATGCGATACTGCGGCGGCCTGCTGGTTTTTGCCATTTGCATTGACATTGACTTTGACCGAGAAATTATAAATCGAAGCCAATGTGACGCATACGTGCGATATCTGGTTGCGTTTATGCGGAGCTTGGACAGCTTGCATTTGCATATAAAGACTGCACTTTATTGGCTACTCTGGCTGATAATTGGCATGCAGTAAAAGTAATGCATTTATTTCTGTTTCCCAATATTTATGGTTTCGTGTCTGAAGAATATTGAAGCCATATGTCTGATGGGGAGTACTTGAACCCATAATTATAACGCTGGACACACTCGCTTGAACAAACCAAACCACCCACTAACCGAGCAATCCAATAGACCATCCACCATCCACCATCCACTGCACCCATTCGACATTCAATCATTGGGTCAAAGCCATCGCACCAACCGTCTTTCAAGTTCAAGCCCCAAAGAGATTAGAAAAATTACCCAAGACTAGATCAAAAAACGACATTGACCGGCATGTCATGGCGCACCGCCGGCACACAATCAAAAATAGAAAACTTTAGTGGCCATTAGCAGATGTCGGTTGGTTTATTTGCAATTTTTAGCTTGGCAAGGGGCCAAAACTTCTGCCAAAGCCGATTCGAACCAAGACGATCCGATCCGATCAGATCCGTCCGACGTCTTCGCATTTCGTTATTGTCTTCTATTTCCTGGTTGGATCCGCTTCGCTGCCGACGATTTGGCATTATCATGAATTAATTGTTGCATATTATAAGCGACAAGCATTGACCTCAATAGTTGGATTTGATAAACAAAGTATACACCTCGGATACTACATATGTTACGTGGGGCAGAACGAGTAAATAAATGCGAATTTAAAGCTAATAACTTTTGTTGAATTTTTCTCTAATGGATTCATATGTGCTCATTAGAAGCAGAGCGGCCAACAAGACCAAAGTCAAACTTCTTTAACTGAAATCGCAATATATATATACACCGAGAGCATGGTGTTAGGGGAATCGTGTGTTAGGAGCTTGAAGAAGCTTGACTGTATAAACAATTGTACTTTACTTGATTCTCCTCTAAACACTAATGGCAAAATATTTTGAGTTGATGATTCGGCATAAAATAAAATTAATGAGATGTTCAATTTCGTTTCAAAGCTCTGGATAAATCATACTGCCATTATGGGTATTAGTTTAAGTTCCGTACTGCCCTCAAATTTATTCTTGGCTGCGTGCCGGGATCAATAGAAGATTGTGTTTGGTGACTAGGGTCCTTCCTTTACTTAAAACATCTGATTTTTAGTCGGATTTCACGTATTAAGGACTGTATTACATTATTACATTTTTGTTTGTAAATAATGGAACCAAATTTAACCGAGTAAGTCAAAAGACTTTGGGTCAAAAGGAATTAAAATGTCATAGAGAAAAGTATTTTTAGATATCATATTTAATAGAATTATCATTAGGGGATTCTCCCCTTTTATTATATATATCTTGGAGAGTGTTTTATAATTTTAGGAACAAGTTTGCAAAGCAGTGAAATTGAAAAAGACAATGTAATATAAACCCACAGGAGAAAATATAACTTCGCTGTTATTAAATTTATAGGAATGGATGGTTATGGCTTACTATTTTCGAATTAAGGTATGACTTTTACTTAACGAGCCATCTAAAAATCCAGCAGATCATTGTTTTTATATATATATGCATAGAAATGTAATTATTTTGTAGAATATTTAATATTTGTAAGAGCTGCAAGGTTTTGCATCTTTTCTTGTTTATTGTTATTGCTAATGCTATCTTTTTATTTGTATAAAATTGCAAAATAGGAAACTTGGATATACTTTCGAAAAGGATTATTCCAAATATTCAAATTTAAATTCAAGTTTTGAATACTAAAGTATTAAATCCGTTATTTTGAGATTGGTATTTTTATAAGTAAATAAATTACGGTATTTACAGCATATCAACATGAAGCAGCGGTATATTTTAACGGCTCGCATACGGTCACACTGGCGCACACTGTTATCTTCGGGAGTTGAAGTGAATCCACTTTCTTCGGTAAATTCCATTGTTTGTGTTTAATTTGGCGCCACCCCCTCCAACCATCGGAATCCAGCGTTGACATGGCAACGGGGCGGACGAGCGCCAGCATTTAGCGCCCAGCCAGCGACGAGCAATGACCGTTTGGGGCATAGAGGCCATCACACTGAACGGATCATCGGCAAGGGAAAGCGGGGAGCAGCACCTGGCTGAAAGGGACGTGGGCGATCGTGATCGTGATCGTGTTCGTGGTCGGGTGATTCCGGAAGCGGGAGCCATGAACTCCATAGAGCGCTACCGGCAGGAGTGGACACAGCTGCTGGAGAACCTCGATGCCGAGCCGGAGGTACTCCGGCAGTCGGCGTTCGCCGGCGACCTGAAGATGTCCAAATTTCGCAGCGTTCACTGGGCTCTCCTGCTGCGCGTCCTCACCTCGGAGCACCGGAGTTGGATTGGCCAGCGACTCCAGCAGCGGGTGCGTTACGACAAGTTCCGGGCGGACTACGTCCGGAATCCCCACCAACTGGCCGTCGACTGCAACGATGATCCGCTGTCGCAGTCGACGCAGAGCGTGTGGAACCAGTACTTCAGCGACCAGGAGCTGTTCGCCGTCATCCGGCAGGATGTGGTGCGCACCTTTCCGGGCGTCGACTTCTTCCGCAAGCCCCTGGTGCAGAACGCCATGGTCAACATACTGTTCTACTACGCCCGGGAGCACCCGTACATGTGCTATCGCCAGGGCATGCACGAGATTCTGGCTCCCATCATCTTTGTCGTCTACAGCGATCACCAGTCTCTGCTGCACTTCAGCGAGCTGGCCAAGACGGACATCAATCCCACGTTGCTGGACGTGCTGGACCCCGCCTATCTAGAGGCGGATACCTAGTGCGTAATACGAAATATATTATATGTAAAACCCCCTTACTAAGTTGTGCACTTCTTGCAGCTCTTTGTTCTCACGCCTGATGGCCTCCGTGGAGTCGTACTATCGCGTGTCGAATCTGGTCTCCACTCCCGGTGGCCACATCGAGCAGCGGGCCGAGGTACGTCGCAGTTTGCGGGTGCAGCAACCCAATCCCATATCGCTTATCGCTACCCATCCCTCTTTCAGACCCCCGGGGACAATGAGTCGCCGACGGAGGCGGAGGTTATCAGCCAGCTGAACTTCATACGGGACAAAATACTTGCCAAGCAGGACCAGCACTTGCACCACTATCTCCAAAAGATGGAAATCCCGCTGCACATATTCGGCATGTAAGTTGCAATCGGAAAATGCGGATTTCTGTTGCCTAATCTTGAAGAGCTTCAGTTGCTAAGGCAGCTTAAGAAGATTTTAGTTTATAAATGCATACCCATTTTATAGAGATTACTAAAATTTGTCCATATTAGTAGTTTATATAGTCAACAGCTTTAAATTCCACAGAAAATTAAATGTTTTTTGGTCATGACCATAATTTTAGACGGATGATGTCATTTGAAAATTTTAACCGCTCTAATAATAATGCCATTTACCTATAATTTTGTTAGGGGATTCTTTTTTTTATATAGAACTGAAATATGTAAAGGTTAATTATTTAAAAACTACCATAAACTTATATATAAATGGATTAAGCGAGTGACTCAATAATCTTAATTAAATAATCTATTTTACTTTGAACTGAAAAAGTCGCTGGCTGAGACTTCTGTTTGGACGGGAATTCATGCTGCTGGACCTGCTGCTGCTGTGGGATGCAATCTTCGCGGACAGCGATCGCTTCGACCTGCCCAACTATATTCTGGTGGCCATGTTGGTGCACATCCGCGATAAGCGTGGGTACTCCCGCCTGGTGCTTCCCGATCTGAGTAATAGCGTAACTTTTCTAACTATTTGGGGTTTCAGTGCTGCTCAGCGACTACACCACATCGCTGACCTATCTGATGCGCTATCCGGGCAACGTGGACGTCCATCTGGTGCTGCGCCATGCCCTCTTCATGCTCAATCCCAAGCAGTTCGACTATCCCTCGAACGCCTTCACCTGTGTCTCCTTCGCGAACAGCGGCGCGGGCAAGGAAGTGCCTCCTCCTGCGGGTCAACGGCCGCGCACTGCATCAGAAACCTCAGCCGGAGCCACCAGTGGCAGCCAGATCGATCGCCAAATCACCTTTATGCAGGAGCGCAATGCGGCGAATTCTTCGGCTCTGGCCAAACTACAGGATTCCCATCGCGTGGCCATGGATGGATACTTGGAGAATGTGAGTAAACACGAAGATTTACCATTTTTAAATCGTTCTTTAAACTGCTATACAATGCAGTCACCAAAATGTTAAAAAAAAACACTTTAAAATCGTTGGAAACGTCTATATATTTTTATAAAATAGTTGTTTAATACAACAATACATTGAAAAAAAAAATTCTAGAAATATATAGCTTATGGATATGGTCGTCCATTTTGATTAAACCGTGGAAGCTTTTTTTTATTATTTACTTAAATATTTTTAATAACAACGGAATAGTTCAAACTGCTATACATTATAGCCGCCAAAATGAAATCTTAGGAAACGTCTATATATTTTTATAAAATAGTTTTTAAATACAACAATGCATTGAAAAATGAAATGTTCAACTAATATAAAACTTATGGATACAGTCGTACATTTGGATTAAACCGTGGAAGCTTATTTTAATATTTGTTTAAATATAAATATTCCAACGGAATGATTCAAACTGCTATACAATATAGTCGCCAAAATGTTTTAAAAAAACACTTGAAATCCTAGGAAACGTCTATATATTTTTATAAAATAGTTTTTTAATGCATTAAAAAAAAATGTTCAACTAATATATAGCTTATGTATATGGTCATCCATTTCGATTAAACCGTGGAAGCTTATTTTAATATTTGTTTAAATATTTATAATAACAACGGAATGTTTACAATTTATGCCGATCGCTTGTACATAGGTTCATTGACCCAATTCACTATCTTATAGCTTTAAAACTCTGAAATGTGTATATTTATTTACGTTGTGTAAATAAGATAAATATGGGCAATTCCTTGACTGAAGATGGTTGTTAAACGTAGACCCATTCCGATTTGTCTCTTCCAGAGTCCCGAGCTACTCCGATTGGAGCTGAAGAATGCCCAAACGGTTATAAAGATTGCGCGCAGCAAGCTGCAGAATTACCTGGGCACTGTGCGACATCACGTGGGAAAGCAGGCGAATGGGAACGAGGAGCTTAGCCGGACGCTGGACGGGATTGAGGAGCTGTGCAGCTTCCTGGACGTCAAGTTCATGTTCCCGCTGCACGCCCGCTCAGCGCCCATCGACCAGGCACTGGAGGCCAACGAACAGAAGCAGCTGAACACGGCCAATCCGGCGCCGAAAGCCACGCCCTCGTCCGCTCCCAATTCCACGACTGCAACTGTGGGCTACCAGATGCCCGAGAACGCCTTCATGCACAGCTCCATGCGACGCCTGCTGGGGGAGCTGCGCGAAATCGAGCTGTCCACGATCACGAGCGACGAGAAGCCGGGAGAAGCGGTGCTCCAAAACGGATTGCCGGCTGCAGAGCCCCAGCAGCGGCAGCACAACGAATTAAGCTGATCGAAAGATCCTCTCCTATCGACTGAACTTGAATTTAGACTTAAACAGAGCAACCACAAAGTGGCTGAATCGGAATGATTGAAGAGTATCATTTAAAGACATACGATTAAAATATATATTTTCGACTTGGGCCAGTCTGTAAACCTAAATAAATCGATCCAATTTATAAGTGCTTAAACCGAAAAAAAAATAGTTGTATTTAAGTAGTGCGGGAATGGTTCCGAAACAAAACGCCATCAAAAACATGCATGTTTCGGGACAAGCAGATTCGTTTTTTTTTTTTTAAGTTCTAACTCTAAACAAGAATGTTAACAATCTTGGCTTGTGTGTCTGTCTGTGAGAGGAACTCCTTAGTTCTAGTCGGTCAATCTTAACTTGAAATATCTATCTTGCTTGCAAGTATTCATCTTTAACATACAAAATATGTGAGTTGAAGAAAGTTTAAATAATGACAATGACAAAAACTATAACTATGGATGATTCGTATTCTTAGGAGCTCTATGGCCGGCGGTTGTGGTTCAGCAGGGACCGGAAGGTTGTCATTTGAGCGCCATTGCTGTTCGGACCGCCCCGCATCATTGGTGTCGTTGTCATATTTCCCGACTGCTGCTGCTGCTGTTGCGGCTGCTGCTGCATGGGTGTCTTGGTGATGGTGATCATCTTGGAACTGTTGTTATTATTCACACGTATCTGGCGGAGCATAGCGAGCGTGTTGCCATTGGTCATGTCCGCCTGTGGAGTGGACGGTGCTTCCGAGGAGCCACCTTGGCTTGGTCGCCCATTTCCGTTGATCCTGTTGTGCGTTGTCAGCTTGTCCAGGGGCACACAGCGCACGGGATCCGTGTCGTAGCGGTTGGTCACCTGCACCTGCGAGGAGCTAAAGATGCGCCGGATGTTCTCCGGCAGGTCTTTGGGATTGCCGTTGATGGTCACTTGGGTGGACGCGCCACCGCTGGCTGGCTTGCTCTGCACCGTTTCTGCCTCGTTGTTGTTGTTGTTGTTCTGCACAGGTTGCTCATCGTCCTGGATGGTGATGACACTGGAATGCAAGTCTACATCAGCAGCAGCAGCAGCAGCCGAAACTGACGAGAGGTTAGAAGCAGGAGGAGGAGGAGCTGTAAATGGAACGGTCGGAGCTGGAGGAGCCACTGCAGCAGACGATGTGGAAGAGGGTGCGGCTGGAGATGTGGCTACCGCCAACGAAGTTCGCTGCATGGCTCGAACTTCCAGGCCACACACGAGCTGCATAATCTTGGCCTTGCCCTCGGCAGCCAAATCCGGCGGCAGGGACTTCATCGTCGGCGCAATACTATCGAAGAAGAGATCTAGCACGTGTCGCGGCTCGGGTGGCTGTGGCGCAGTCACCGTCGGCGCCTGCGCCTGCGTCACCCTGGAGTCACCCTGGGCGGCCGCCTCACGCTCCAGGGTGCGCAGGCGCGTCACAATGTCGAACGAGGAACAGATCATGTCCTTGGCCATGTCCATCTGAGAGCGCTCCTCCTGGGGCTTGCCCATGGAGTCGCGCAGGGCGCGCAGTAAGCGACGAACTTCCATTGAGCGTCGCGATCGCTTTGCGGGCGGCTCGGCCATGCTGCCATCGGATCTGAGGAGGAGACAGTACGGTTATAATGAGAAACTTAACCCACCCAAACCAAACCAAACCAAACCAGCACTCACCTCACGCTCATGTCACCGTCGCTCTCCTTCTCCAGACCGGACTCCTGCCTCTCCGCATCGGCGGTGGAGTTCGTGCCGACGGATGGAGCTTCTGCGGCCGCGGTTACGTTACTCCTGCTCCGCTCCAGACTGTCGGCGTGTTTGCGCGAAGCGTCGTGCTGCCGCAGATAGAAGACCTTGATCGGCAGTCGGGTATCGCAGACCCGGCAGTGGCAGTGGTTCTCATCGTTGGCATCCGGATCCAGCCAGTCGTACTTGGCCTGCAGCTCGGCCATGGCCGCCTTTTGCCTGGCCTCGCCGCTGGCCAGAGCCGACGCAGTGGCCACCACAGTGGAGATTTCGGCTGGGCTCTTGGCCGCAGCTTGTCCTGCGTTGCGCTTGCGGTCGAAGCGGAGGCGAATGTGCCGCGAAGTCCGCTGGTGCTTTGAGGCCCACTTGGAGGTGGGCAGGTAGAGGGACACCTCGCAGAGCTTGCACCAGGCATAGTTACCGCGCTGCTCGCTCTTTTTGTACGAGAGCCACGGGAAGCGGCCCTTCCACACCATCACCTTACCCTTCGTGGTCGCCGGAATGGGCTTAACGAACAGTTTGGCCGCTGTTCGCGGTGGCTTCCGCGTCTGCACGGTGCCCGAGTCCGTGTTGCTCTCGCCATCGCCATCAACCTCCTCTTCCTCCTCCTCCTCCATCACTTCCTCCTCTTCCTCTGCCTCTTCCTCCCCGTTTTGGGCCTCCTCCTGCTCCTTCTGGCGTTTATTTCGAGTCTGCTTGACTGCACCCTTGGCCTGTTTTAGCTGGCGCGCCTTGACCTGCTTCATCAGCCGGATGTGTCGCACACTGAACTCATGCCTTGCCTTGCCCGCCTCGTTGTAGAAGCGCACGCGGCAGAACTTGCACAGCTGGGTCTTCCGGTCCTTGGAGTAGCACAGCCACGGGTAGAACTGCACGCCGGCGCGGATCTTGGCCTTTCTGGGCTCCATATCCGACTTGGCAGCGAAGCTGGGATTGGTAAGAAAGCATTAATAAGCATTATTTAACTTATAAAACGATTAATGGAGTAAAGAAGTAAATAACTTCAATAAGTATATAATTATCTGTGTTAGCTTTTGATATTCTGATTATCAGGGTGTAACCCATGAAACTTTAGAGATTTTATAAAAAGTTGTCTTGACTTTTTGAATAAATTTATCTCTCAAGTGCACCTTATTTTCGGCGGAACGATTAATAAGGCAATTTTTTGCTTTTTGGGTTGACAGCAACAATGGAAAGTGTAATTTAAACGGTTTTGTAAAATTTGAAATCTTACAGAAGACACAAGGACAGAAGTCTTATTTTAACAATAAGCCTGACATAATCAAAAACACGATTTAAACAGTTTATGTAAATATCACAAACTTTAAATTATCTTTCTGAAATATTTATACACACAAATTAAAAATAAGTATTGAAGTAGTAGAAAATTAACTACGTTAATATTTATAGTATATAGTTATATATATAGTATTATATATACTATACTATAGTTATAGTATAGTATTACGCAGTTTAAGTTTAGTGAAACACCTACCCTTTGCCAGCTTTTTGTGTCTCCGACCAATTGTCATCGTCCAAATCCTCAGTGCCCTCGCTATCTGACCGTACTTCCGACTGGGCTGGCTCACTGGCGGCCACCTCCTCCTCCTCCTCCTCCTGCTCCTCCTCCGCATCTTCATCGCCCCCGTTCTCGTTCCTGTTCTCGTCCTCCTTGGCCTCAGCCAATGAAGCGTCAATGATCGCCTTGGCGGTGGCCACTGCCGATGTGTGCTTCTCGGAGTTCTCGTGGTTCTTGCGCTTGATCTCGGAGTTTCCGTACATAAATCGTTTGCGGCAGATGCTGCAGTACCCGATACTGGGGTCTTCCGGATCGGCGATCAGCCATGGATGCAAATCGGCAAACACAGCCCAAATACCGCGAATGTCATCAGAACTGAAGTGCACATAAAATTAAAGGAAATTCATTATAGTAAGTTCTATCATGACAGTTTCCCTTATTACAATGCTGATAAGCAGCATCGGTTTTTATATTGGTCACCAGAATACCCACCTCTTTTGGACGGGTTCCATTAGCTTGTGGCAGTGAGCCTTGGCTTTGCAGTGCCGCAGGAAGCTGGTGATCGCCATCGGCATGTCGCACAGCGTGCATCGGCACTGCTGTGGACTGGTGTCTGGAATCAGCTCGCACCACTTGCTGGGGTCCTCGCCCGGGTTCACCCCACCGTTCATCACCACCACGGGCGTCTCTTGCGCATCCTCCGTCGCCGCCACCGGCTCTGATTCCTTCTCCTGTTCCTTCTCCTGCTCGGCCTCCTCCTCAACAACATTGGTTTCACTGGCGCTCTTGCTGCGCTTCCGCTTCCGGCTCGGCTTGTCGGATTCCTGAATCCGCAACGCCTCCAAGTGACCTTTTGTGGTCTCGTGACGTTTGCGCAGATAGACAAACTCCACGTTCATGCGCACGTGGCAGACGCGACATGTCCCAATGGTTCCCGTCGGCTGGGAGCGCTCCAGCCACGGATGCCAGCGAAGCCAGCGCAGCCAGTTGAAGTTATTGAAGGCCTCGGTCTCCGTGACTCGCTTCTGCTTCATGGCGGCCACATAGCTCTTGGTGCCGAACTCGTGCTTCACCTCGTTGTCACTGGTTCTACGGGAAATCGGGAAACAATGAGTTAAGTTCAAGGGGTTTAACAGTAAGAATTCTAGAATTCAATGGTTATATTTCTCTCCTGGATTATAATTCTTAGGTATCATCATATTTTAAGAGTATTTTTAATCTTTGAGAGCTAGTTATTCCGTAGTTTGCAAACTACATAATTTTTTCTTTTTCGTTTTTAATAGTGAGTGTGAGTGAGTTTCTTGATAACAGATTTTTTCAAAACCATGGAAACCATGTAAAAATGGAGTCAGCCTTCATTACGTGCATACACAACCGCAAGAAAGTGTAACAAAATGTTGAACAAAGAAGTCTGTTACCAATCTCTAGGTATTAAATTACGTTGAGAAAAAGTTTCAAGCCACAGAATCCAATTAATTTTTAATTGTCATCCCATTGAGAAAACTGAATATTTAAAACGGGGAATGTTTAATGCATATTCGCTTTGGATAATTTGATACCAAGCTCTAGTTTTCAAGTGCTTGGCTTAGGGAGAGTGTAATTTTTCCGGTTTCTCCCAGCTTTTTGTTCAGAAACTTGTTTCTAAGGGGCTTCTTATCAATGAGTTTGATAGTTGTTGTAGAAATTTAAAGAGAGTTTGGGAAAACCATCGTTTTAGTTCTGGATAATATTATAATATCAACAGGTGGCACTCTTCTAAACCTCAGATTGAAGTGACTATCAGCGCGCTTCACCATTTTATTTTATAAATTAAGAGTTTACTCACGATCCGCGGGTCTGCTCCTCGCTCCTCTTGAAGGCCAGGTAGTTGCACTCGCGTTCCTGGTGGTACAGCGACATGTTGTGCTGCTGGATGTGCCTGGAGCGGTTGTTCACGTTGATGTTCATGTTGCAGTAGAGGCAGAAGGCGAAGGTGCCGTCAGAGGCCTCGTGGAGGATCCAGGGCCATCGCTTCATCCAGATGAGCCAGCGCTGCGAGCGGGACATTTTGCGGCGATTGGAGCCGCCGTGGCCGCCACCGTTGCTGCTCTCGTCCACGCTGTAGTCGTCGTCCTCGTCCTGGCTGTCGCCCGCCTCCTGGTTGTCGATGCGCTCCAGCAGGCCCATGGGATCGTGGTACGAGTGGTTGCTCTCCGCATCGCTGGAGGGTTCGGTTTTGGTGGACACGGTGTCCGGGTCCCGGTCGTGATCGTCCATGAGCGGATCCTCGCTGGCGGGCTTGTCATCTGGGTTGTTCAGGGCGGACTGCAGTTCGGCCACCAGTGGGGCATCGTCGTCGTCCATGATGTCCTCCAAGCCCGCGTCGTCCGGCAGCGGCTGCTCCTGCTCCTCCTCATCCACCTCCATGTCGGCCTCCGCCTCGTCGTCGTCCACCAGGATGACCATGGGGGCCTCCGCTTCTTCGACGAGATCGGGATCCGTCGCCACCACCGCGCCTCCCTCCACGTCCATAATTTTCAGCTCGTGCGTCGTCGACGCCAACGATTCGGAATTCGCGGACGCCATTTTGAGACCGGCGTCTGTCGACCCGTCCAAGTTTTTCGCCTGTGCACTTTTGTCCTGATCCATCGCCTGGTGCTCCAGATCACTGGTTGTCTAGGCACTGTGCTGATTTCTCTGCCAGTCGTCGCACAATCACAGCATGCGTGGTTAATTAAAAAACAAATGGCGAAAATTGCAAGTAAAGTAAACTCCAATTCGCAGCCGAGACTATGAACAGTGTGACCGTCACTGTTATCTTGGACCGGCGGCCAGAGGACAAAAAAAAAACCAGAAAATGTAACGACGTGGATGCACTGACCGCATCATAGTCGGAGAGGCTAAAAAGCGATCGTTTACACCAAGGGTTCGCATAAAAAAAGTTTTAATTTTTAATAATTATTATTAAGCACAAATGTTTTTGTAAATAGAATGCTAAGGGAGACAATAGGTAAGCTTGCTGGGCACAATTTGCTTTACACTAAAAATATTTTGTTTCTTCCTTGCGGTCCATTTCATTACTGTTAATACCCGGGCAAGGCAAGAAAATTTCTTTTTTAAATTTTTATTTCTTTGGATGAATTAGTCAAATTTTTTGCTCTGCACTGTGTTCGTGATTTTATTGTAGATGTGTTGCCTCCTTCTGTTATTGAGGTTCAAAAAAATATATCAAAATCGCGATTTTTAAAATTTGTATATCTACACTTTCATATACATGCAACAAATATAACAATGGTGTTTTGCAACACAGTGACTGTGGTGTCCTCGAAAAAAAAATTCATTAAGTTGACTGAGATTGAGATACATTAAAGAAGTACGTTGTTTGATTGTTGAACAGTAACATTTACGATCACTTTTCATAAGATATTTATATGGCGATTGAAAACATATACAAATTAATAATTGAGAAAAAGTATAAGTTATCTTCTGAATAAGGGACATGAAGAAATATATATGAACCACCTTTTATTTAAATTAATTAAAAAGGTAACAACTCTAAATGCAACTGTGAAACGCGTTTTGCGGTATTGAGGTGCTATTGCAGTACGGTCATACAATACTTAAATTTGTTTATATTTTGGAAAAGAACTGCCCAAATGGCAAACCTTCAGTTAACTCAGGAAAAACTGTGAGTTAAGCGAAGCACCATATCAGAAATGATTGATTACTAACCCTATTTTCCGGCAGAGATGCCCTACGCTCCGAATACAGGCCACGCCGGCCGTGCGCCCTGCTGAAATACCCGCGCCCCAAGACGAAGCCGGAGTACCAGGCGATTTATCCGTGGTTGCTGCCCGACGAAACGGATCCGCACTTCGTGTTCTGCGCGGTGTGCGAGTGTAGACTCAGCTGCAAGAGATCGGATCTGGGCAAGCACGAGGGCAGCATAAAGCACTCGGAAAATGCGCAGAGGAAGGCCCTGCCGGCCAAGGCAAATCATCCCGAGGCGGAGGGATCCGGTTCCGGCGCAATGAAGTGGGAGTACAACGAGGACGAGGAGGGCCTGCTGCCGTACGGCACAGATCCCCCCGATGACGAAACAGAGGAGGAGGAGGGCGAACCGGACGATGCCGAGGCGGATTGTGAAGAAGGCGAGGATGATGAAGATCAGGCTGATGAACTGGAAACACTTAACGACTTTGAAACAGAACCCGCCTCCAAGCAGCAGCGCCGCATCTCCGAGACGGACTCGCATCACTCAGGCATGCTGGATTATCTGCCCCTCCACGTGACCATCAACGAGTTGCCCTCGAGTGTTACGCCCGCTGCGTCCTCCTATCCCACATCATCCTCTGCGGCAGCACCAGCAGCTCCGCCCTGCAGGATCACCATTAAGAAAGTGCCCGCGCCCACCACTCCACCCAATGCAGTGTGTCAGGGACAGGAGATCAGCTCCAAGGCCACCATCACGCCCATCCACACCACGCCCTCCTACGCCGCTCGCCAGCTGCAATCCTACCAGCTGCAGCCGGTGTCACCCATAACGCCGCCTCGGGATTCCCTGGAGTTATTCTTCGACAGCATCTGCGCCACCGTCAAAAATCTGCCGCCCAAGCTGGCCACCGAGGGCAAGATCCGGGTGATGCAGCTCATCGGGGAGCTGGAGCTGCGTGCCCTCGGCGAACAGGAGGCGTCTGCTCAGCCCGCCGGACATCAGGCTATCGATCTCGCCGGCAGCTCAGCATCCGGAGCAGCGGAAGCACCGGGCAGTGGGCAGCAGAACGCCACGGTGGCCTCAACCACGAAGTAAACTCAAACGGAATCGTAAAGCGGCTCTCAGCCGGGCTCACGTTACAAACAAGAATATCTGGTGGCTTCATTTTTGAATTTGTTAACTGATTTTCTTTAATAAATTTATTTATTAGTTGTTGTAGTTCTAGGGATTTTGATTTATTTTTTTTCTTATACCAAAATGTTAAAGAAACTCAAGGAAAAATTAATACTGATTATTTTGATATGAAATCAACTTGTTAATTTTTTAAATCGAATTTTGGTTAAATGCCAGATTTTTGTAAGGTATATTTAATTGAATTAAAATAAAACACCATTTTCGATTAATGTTAAAATGAATTATAAATGAACACAAATACGAATATGAATTCCTGAACGCAAATAAGTTTGAAATGTATATATTTATTTACTGACCTGTTTAATTTAAAACAAGAAATGATGCAAACTTCGGCAAAGACGAAATCGTAAAATTATGAAATCAATGTGTTAATTTGTATTAATTTTTGATTAATAAAAACATATAAAACATAGCTACTGAATTCTTGTAAAATACCTGAGCTTTATAAGAAATATTTAATTTCATTAAAATGAAGGAACACCTTTTTTGTGAATAAAAGCAGGAATGTATAAAGTATATAAATATATACAAATTCGGAGTTTTTTTCACTTAAATTCTTGATTAAGTGCGATTAATTAAATATTATTTTTGGCTATCAAAAGCAAGTATATAAGGTAAATTAAAATATTTTTTATTGGTGCTTATTTATATAACTTCATGTGTTTGCCGAAACACATTTTTTTCATCGGATTTATTCATTTTTTTAATTGAACATATTTCAAAACTGTTTTTTATCGTTTTTATCGCTCATATATGCTCAATTAGTCACAAGGGAATTCTCTAGCATTGGTAATAAAAATGTTTATTTGCGAGGTCAACACAAAGTAATCTAGAAAGTTTATCGCACGATATTTAAAATTATGGTTTATGTAGTTAATAAAAAAAATCTACATTGTCATGGAAATTTCTTAATTGTAAATGACATTCTCTCTGTAAAGAGAGCAGTAAACGTCTCAAACAAAATGATATAAAAGCGATTTGTTTGTAAATATAAGTTAATAAATCTTTATTGTAAAAAATGATCGAAAAGAAGAGTTATCAGTAGTAAGGCACTTAGTAAGCTATAAACACTACGTAAGATATGGTAGGGGGATCCCTCCTAGAAGGCCGGTTTGCCCTCCAGCATGGCCTTTCCGCAGTAGAACGGAAACTGCACGCCCTGGAGCAGAACGTCCGATATGCCCTGCGAATGGTAACGAAACAAATCGGTTAGCTACATATGTATGTTTCTGGGGTCTGGGTTGGGCAGAAATCGCGGCCAGATATCGTTGGTGCCTATAAGCCCTGGTTGTGTTTCTGATAAGTCGCCGGAATGACTAATTGGTTAAATATCTTCCCAGGCCCGATAACGCAGGTGCCTCACGGAACTAACAGGTAAAGTTTTTGACTCACCCCCCAACTAAGCTACACCCACATAACCACTTACCGTGAGGGCGGGAATGCAGGAGGCGAAGGCGTACACCCAAATGTAGCAGAAGGCGCAGAAAAAGGCCACGAAGAAGGAGACGAACCAGAAGACCAGCAGCCAGAAGATGAACCACAGTGGATTGGGCATCGTGATGAGTGGTGTGGTTTGTTCAGAGCGATTCCGGCTGTGCGATAAGATAAATACAAGGGATCTTGTTTAGTGTATGGCCTCGAAATGGAGCTTATCGTGGGCTGTCTAAATGGAGCAGATCCCATTAAAATTTTTTAGACTTCTTTCTGTACGAAGTTTAACAGATTGCGTTGATTTCTTATCAAAAACGCTTGTTATTAATTAAACTAACAGGATATTTTGTTGCCATCTGCTAATATGAATTTTAAAATATTTCTAAAATTAAACTGCCAAAAAATGTGCCTATCTTAATTAAAAGAGCTTTTGAAACGTCACTGCTATTTTTAACGTATTTTTAATATCACTCTGTCAATGTCCCAATTTAAGATAGTGAATGTCATTGCTGTTTAAGTAAGTAAACCATTAAAAAAAAACCCCATTTGTGACTGAATTTAAAAATAGTTTTTACTCATGTGCATTTTAAAATACGCGCTTTTCAAGCAAGTCAAGCCAAAAACGTTGCTTTCCCCAATAAAAGATCTGTAACTTTCAGTAGAAAATTAAATATGCATTCACTCAGGTTTTCCCTCCGAAACTGCATTTGAATGGCTTTCTTCTGCATTTAGATTTCACTTTTGAGTTCGTGACAAACATGCGAACGACCGATTTGGTTTGGGTTTCAAACTGAATTTAGAAGCAATGACGTCAAAACTGATTATTTCCAAAAAAAGGCAGCTGGGGAAGTGTAAGGCCAAGACCTCGGACGCAGATCTCGAGCCAAATTCCACAATTGAGTGCTGATTACAGTCTTCTCAAAACAAATGTCGTCATTATGCAAATCGTATTGCTAGCATGTACTATACTTGATGGGTGTGTCGTTTTAAGTCATCCCCCGTCTTAAGTCATCAAAAAAACAATTGCAGATTGCCGACAAACCGGTTGGCACAATTAACACTCGGAGAAATTCGAATTAATTAGCCCGAACATGAAGCATCTGCCAAATAATTAGATTACGCTAGACTATGCGTAGATACTTTATAAATACTTTTTTTTTTACCGCGCACCCACGTAAGATCGAAAGTCACTTAACAGAAAAATGCAGAGAGCTAAAGCAAACAATAACAAACCAAGTTGAAGATCGGAGGTCGACGTCCGGGGGATTTGAGAATGGAATGAAGACTGAGAATCGAAAACCGGCGCAACAAGTTGCATGGCTAGCTGCAGGCAGGGTTGTCACCTGTCGCACTTCGCTGCAGAGTTTTGAGTAAAAAAGCTCGCTATCAAAGCTTTTAACAACGAGGGTGGACTTTATAGTTATTGTTTGTTTGACAATCTTATGTCTAAGATTCAGATAAGCAAGCTTATTTAAAAGAGCGAGAATAAATAAAATTAAAATTAAACATAATTGTAAAATGTTAATTAAATTACTTATTAAAATAAATATAACTATAGTATTGTATACAATGTGTCTAGCGCTACGTTAATTAATTAAAATAAAATTAAATTAAAATTAACTATAAAAAAGCATATAAACAAAACAAAAATATAAAAAAGGGTCGAAATGGCATACTTATTTCGGAAAATTACCTAAAAGACAAGCATAGCCTAGAAATAATTTACTAAAATAATACTTAGGTCAGACTTTATGCCACTTTTCTTGAAATGTTTAAGCTTAGCTCATCTTTTAGGCCATTAATCCTAAATTTAAGTTAATTGTAACTATTTTAACAAGTCATTTTATTTTTTTGGGTGCGCTTGGCAAACAATCAAATTATTTTTTAAAATGTCAGAAAAGGAATACAATGGCTACTAATTACTTATTAAGAAATAATTATAATTATTATTCCAAAAAAAGAAAAATAGTTTTGATTTTCATTTTGTACCGAAACAAGAAACTATGACAAACAAAAATCGATTTAATTTGTGTAGAGCCACACTGTGAATACCCTTATCACCAGAATTTATCAGCCAAATGTTTAGCCATTCCGTTTATGCCTGTTAGCGCTTATCTTACACATTGCCGCATTCCGTTTCCCGGCCAGCAATCAATCGACGCTAAGAATAAAAACTTTTCCAACCTCAGCTTCGTTTTCGGAAAAGCTTTGCGCTTCTCTTGTGCCGCAAGAAGAATTTCCACCAGTCGAAAATGCTAAACTGTTATACACCCTCGTTACTAACAACAACTGTGTGCACACAGCTGAAGGCTAAAAGCTTTATGCGGCTGCTTGTCAATGTTTTCATATCAAATTTCCTATAATATGTAGGCCCCCTATATAAGATGTACAGGTGTTTGTGTGTGTGTGTGAGCGCGGCCAAAAAGTTTTTCATCCCGGACGCCGACGCCGCTTGTGCAGCTGTTGTTGTGGTCGGCTGCTGTTTTCTACGATTTTCCGATTCTCCGCATTCTGCTGCGAGTCGTCGGTCACGCTGGTTCCGATTTTGTTCCGGTTAAGCTAGAAAAGAAATATGTAAAGAAAATATATATAACCAAAATAAATAAATAAGTTCGGTACATTGAAAAATGTGATACAATCGAGACTTTCAATGGTTTAAAAAGAGTTTTTAAATCTTTTCAAAAATGTGTAGCATACCTTGCGGCTCAAAACAGCTGCAGCCTGTTCGTGTGTGTGTGTGTGTGCTGGAGAGAGCCAGAGAGAGTGGGAGAGCTGGCTGGCTATTAATGTGTTTGTGTGTGTAATACTGACTTTAAACGTGTGCGATCGATTTTCGGTTGTTTTATAAAAACAAACCAAAACTATTAATTCAAAGTATATACAACAAATTTGATAAGACCTTATCAAGTTAGATTGATTAATTTAATGCCCATTAACGTTGTCAATTAGGAACAATAACATTTAACGAATTTAACGAATAAACAAACAATGCGGCCACTCGAGATAATGAAATTTAGTACGGTTGGGCAGAGCAACAACAAATGCGGCAAAGTGTCGCAGGCGAAAGTTTCCGATTTCGATTGCGAACAAAAACAAGCCAAAGCTTTTGGCCAAAAATAATGAGAAAGATGAGAAAAGCTATTTCGGCGAGAGAGAGAGAGAGTGAAAGAGAGAGCGAGTGGAAAAGCCTTGTCCGTTTTTCCGCGCTGAGGTGTGTGTGTGTGTGTGTGTGTGTGTGTGTGTGTTTGTCCCTATCCGTGTCTTTCGAACAGTTTAAAGTACGCATTGCGATGCCATTTGGCTTCAGTTTAGCTAGAGACATCGTCGTGTTTTGAGCGGCTGACACATATTTTCCGAGTCCAGCGGATCGAGCGGACTACGCCACACTAGTTTTCAATTCAGTGCGCAAAATAAGGCATAAAGAAAAACAGTAAAAGTAGGCGAGATAAAAAGGAGACAACGGCACAAAGTAAACCCAAAGGCAGACTATTCATTTTCAAAGGGTAGCCCTCCCCCCTTTTCCCATCTCTTTCGGTCTTTAAGCCAGCTCTCAAACAAGCTCACACATACACTGGCATGCATGTGGCATAACACGGCCACAGAAGGATATTCATTAGCCAGGTTTTGTGTGTGATAAAGTGAAGTTTTGGTGCAAAAAACGAGAATTCAATGCAAGCAGTTCCCCATTTTATTTGCAGTTTGGAAAGTTAGTAAATCGCAGAATCGGAGAAGTTCTAAACAAACAACAAACATCAACAGTGACATGTAGTGAGCGGCCAAGTGCAGCATTTTCAGTGCACAAAAGGTGAGTCGTTAATGTGTAAGGAATAGAAAAAGTCTGTCAAAAGGAACTGTGAGAAATAAGATTTTCATATTATTGGTTTTTTAAAAATTTTTAAGTATACTGTGACAAGCAATCAGTAATTATATATTTATATATGTGTATATTAATGAAACAACTTAAGCTGCTAAACGTATAACTTTTCGACCAGATATAAAATTAATAAACAATTGTGTTCTTCAAAAGAGAACAATAAAGACTTATTTTACATTAAATATTTTAATAAAAAATCTCTGTTCAAAAGAAATGTTTTGGCTGTGGAAATTCTTGTTTCATTTTAGCACTTAACGATTTTTGATGAGCTCCTTGATCCGTAAAGTCTTTAGCACACACACACTCCCAAAAAGGTTGAACAAATGGGGAGAAAAAACAGGATATACAGGGAAAAGGGAGCGAGTCTTACAAATTCATAATTTGTCTGTTTACATACGAGGACTTGGTCACTGGTATTGGTGGTTTATCGAGTGGCGCTGCCTCAACGTCCACCCGCTTGCCCCACCGCCCCGCCACCCCCATCCCCGAACGAAAGCGAAATTATTTGTTTTTTGTGTTTTTTCTGTTGTTGTGGGGCACGTAGGCTCCATAACTTCCGCTCGGTCGGCTCACGCGCACACCTGTACCCACTCTCATACACAAACTTATACACACTTTTTGGCAACTCACATCGAGGGCGAGCACATTTAAAATTCTGATGAAAAGACACTTTTACTTTATTCTTTCTTTCGTCGTCACACAGAACAAAATATTTGTTATTATATTTCAACATGTTACAGAAAAATGTATAAGTAGTTAAATTTAAGGCCAGCAAAAACAATAAAAATTGTCTACACAAATACAACTATTGAAACACATTCCCTCCGATTAAATGGGTTATATTGGTGAAATACTTATAAGATAGATAAGTTAACTGAGTAGTCTGATTAAAATTTTAATTTAATAATTTAAATTGCTGGGGACAGACCCAGTCTTATTTATTTCTTTCAGTGCATCGGCATATCTTTTTTCATTTCTTTCGATTATTGTGTGCCCGAGTGCGTGAGTGCGCTTAACTCGGGTGTGTGTAAATATTTCGCTTGATTCCCAGCCGCACAATTTCTCGCATACTCTCCCAGTCGCCCACATGTCGCTTAATTCAACTGTCGATTTATCACACTTAACCCAAACACACACGGTTTACTGTTCACTATCCACTATACACTAGCCACCATAATCCGCTCATATCATGCAGCATCATCATCATCATCCCATGATCATCGCGTCATCATCCACCGGCGGCTTATTAGGTACAAACGCTGATTAGTTGCCCAGATTCGTGCGATTGCGTGCTGGGCTGAGTTGAGTTTGCTTTAGCTGCAGTTTCTGTCCTATTCCGTTTTTTTTTGACTAGTCCCCCTATTTACATACCGCGGCCAAAGATACATTTGTATCTATGTATCCATGGGAGCGCTAAAATGCGACCAACTAGTTTGCTGGGCTTTAGGTGTCTGATATGGTTATGGTTATTTTTTTATGGGTCTGTGAACTGCATTCGTGATTGAGATTTATGTTGCATACATATATATATATATATGTATATATATGCGCTTTTATTACACAATTATTTTATATTTTGTTACACGTTTTTCGTTCACAGTACGAATGTTCATCCGTTTTTATGGAGATTGTAACATAAAATTTGTATTCCTTAGTTTATTTTTATACAGTATTTTCGTTCAAACAAATCAAGCATTAATTCTGTTTTTTTATATTATTTTGATTACTCTTCAAACATAAATTTGGCTTCACTATTTTTCCAACAGAAGTCCAAAAATATATTAGCTTTTTCTGTTTGTGTTGTACAAGAGTCAAACCAATTATATATATGCACTTCGGTTATTAAGTTAAATATTTTTGTTGTCCGATTATTTAATGTATATCTGATTTTGGCAGGGGATAAGATATTTATATTTATTTTTACATATTTTCTGGTTTAAAAATGGAGAAAAATCTTTATATGATAGATAGCATAAATTGATATATGTTTTATGAATTTCCGAATAAAAATATAGGCTCTATAAATAACGAATAACGGATATTTCACTGCCAAAAAGCTGAACAGAAAATTGAGCATAAGCTTAAATCAAAATCAATTATAACAAATGACCGTTCATTTATATTTATAAGTTATTGTTAAATTATTATAAAAACAGAAAATATAATGAATTTGTATAATTTCTGGTCAATACATATTTCCCTGGTGTCGTTAATTTCAATAGGCAACATAGCATTGCTTAACAATTCAAATGCCATTAATTCAATTTGTCATTTGTTTGCCTCCAGGAATTATGTATAATTTAATGCCGCTGCTGCGGACTTCCGTTTATCACTGTTTATCCATTATCCAACCGAATCCATCAATTCCACGCACAATGCACCCGTCCACTGGCCTGCAATTGTGGCATATCTTTTGCGTCGAGGGAAAGTGCAATTTCGTGGTGCCTAGCACAAAAAAATACGGCATGAGATGTTTAAGTTAATTGAATCAGTTGCAAAAAAAAATGATTAAATCACAAAGGAGACCGCCGGGCGTGGGAACTCCGGCTGTGTTCTTTGTGTTGAATTTATGCTTTGGGCTTCACAAACAAAAAGGTCGAGCACAAAACACCAAACACACGGCAAACAGCACTCGCCACACACAAAGCAAACAAGCAAAAGGCGCAAGGCTTAAAGCGTGAAACACTTGAGAATTGTTTTACACTTTTTCGTTTGCGTTTGGGCACCCCTCTCCATGCCATTTTTCGTGTATTTTTCCAAATATTTTGTGCCCCGTCAAATAATTCACGGAACGCTGAAAGCCGAAACTCAAATGGCAGGCAGAACTTGCCTCTCGGCAACCAAGGAACTAAGGAACCAAGGAACAGGAGTTGCCCTGCAGTCCGTGGGGAGTGCAACGCTTTTCCACTTGGCTCCTTTTGCATTTCACGGAGAATCGACAAACTCATAAAAGTCTTTTATACGTGTACCGGGTGGGCAACACGCGAAAATATGCAAATAAAATGCCATAAAACAATGCGAAGGACAAGCAAACAGGCGAGCATAAAAAGCCAGCAATAAAATTGAAACAAAGGGGACAGTTTTATACCCTCGGCTAATATGAATATTGAATGACGAGCTAAGGGATGGCCAAAGAAAAAGTTTCTCATCCGAAATTCCTTATTTCTAAGAAAGTCCTATTGACGTTAGATTTCTGTAATACAAAGTGCTGTATATCCTGGCAAAATAAAAGCTTACATTTTCGAATAAGACACTTTTGCTTATCTTTATAAATTTTATTTTTTTTTTTAAATTAATAATTTAAATTTATAATTTAATTTTATTGATATTTAGAAGCCTACGGAAATAGTAGATCAAAAGAATCTACATCCTTTAAACCTATATTTCGAAGATCATTTAAATTAAAACATTTTATTGACAAGACTTTAAAATCATGTACAAAATACATTTATGTTTGTACCGTCGTTACAAGTATTCATATCCTAAGCTGAGTGTTTCTTAATTCGTATAAGAACAAGCCAGCTCGGTAAATGGGTCGTTTCTTGTCCGTTGGAGCAGCATTAAAACGCAGTTTTATTGCATATCCTCGTGGGCTTTCGGCCAGCCATCATTGTCTTAAGGGTCCGGCGATGACGATGGGCGATGAAAGACCCGAAACCTACCGAATTGAACACAAACTAACCAAACCAGACCGAAACTCACGCAACACAAACGGAAAACAGAAAAAAGAAAGCAAAAAACAGCAGACAAAGGACAGAAACAGGGGCAGAAGGGAATTGTTTAACATTAGTTTTATGCGATCCTTTTATATGTCTGTGCTCTAGCTACTTTTATGAGTTTTCTTGTGGTTTTGCCGTCTGAATGTTGGTGTTTCCCTCTTGGCCATTGCTTGGCGATAATAACGCTATTTGTTGTCTGCTGCAGTCTCATTAGATTTTATTGGTTTTACTAAGAATCAGGAGAATCAGTTGCAATAACATGGCACATAGGATTGCGAAACTCAGGCGACTTCATTTCGGTTGTTTTGCATTTTCTTGGTTAAATTAAATGTCTGCTTAAAGTGGTTCAAAAACTGAAAACATCAACTTTCAGGAAGAAAACAGTCTCTAATAAATTTAAAAATATACATTTCTTGGAAATATACATAAATCAGTTGGTCTTCTTAATTCCTAATCATGACTTTACATTTGAATAAAATAGTCTTATAGCTTATTTTATATTGATATTGTTTGCAAATATTCATTTTTAAATGACATTATCAAAATGGAGAAGATAAGTGAAGAATGTGTTTACGATAAACAGCATGTTTCGGCTAAACAAATAAACAATTTTAAAGTACTTTATAACCCGTTACGTTGAGAAATGCGCATCAGAGTATGGGAATATAAGCTCCTACTTTCTACGCCATTTTTACAGGCAGATAATCACTTATAAGCACACACACACGCACACACACGCATTGAGCCCGTGACGTGTACTGGGAATAAGCGGCTTGATGTGTGTCTGTCTGCGCGCGTGTGTGTTAGCCCTGGTGCTCTGGGCATTAAAAGCAACCCAGGGTAAAATAAAAGCAAGTGCCAAGTGTGGCGCATGTGCCACTCAAAGGCAAACAAATGCGAAGTTCTGCTGTGTCTTGGGGAATACGCGGCGTATGCGCGATTTTAGTGTGATTGTATGCGCCAAGCTTTGCCTGTAAATCGCTCAGTGAGATTGTCGCTGTTGTTATCGCCGGTGTTACCAACGCTGGCTTTGCTTTAACATGCACAGATTAAAGTTGAATAACATTAACGCTGCGAAAAGTCGTCGTTCTAATTCTATTTAATTTTGCATTTGTAGTGTTTAAATTTGTTTCTTTGATCAACGTTGAAAGTATAATTATTGGAAAAATCCAGCAAAATGTTTTGAAAATGCAGAAACATAAAATTTGATTT